TGTAATTGGATGGATGGATGGATGGATGGTATATGTAATTGGATGGATGGATGGATGGATGGTATATGTAATTGGATGAATAAATGGATGGATGATGGATGGTATAATTGGATGGATGGATGGATGATGGAATGATGGATGGATGGTTGACAGATGGTATAATTAGATGGATGGATGGATGGATGATGGATGGTATAATTGGATGGATGGATGGATGGATGGATGGATGATGGATGGTATAATTGGATGGATGGATGGATGGACAGATGGATGGTATAATTAGATGGATGGATGGTATAATTAGATGGATGGAATGATGGATGGATGGATGATGGATGGTATAATTGGATGGATGGATGGATGGATGGATGGATGATGGATGGTATAATTGGATGGATGGATGGATGGACAGATGGATGGTATAATTAGATGGATGGATGGTATAATTAGATGGATGGAATGATGGATGGATGGATGATGGATGGTATAATTGGATGGATGGATGGATGGATGGATGGATGGTATAATTGGATGGATGGATGGATGGATGGATGGTCAAGGTTTGAGTGTACACATCTATAAACAGTAACAGGTTTAATAAAAGGCAGTTATGGGAGAATGTTTGGACGTTGTCTCATCCTGGAACTGGATCTCGGTTCTTGTAGGGATCCAGAAGGTCCACACTGTCTGGTTAAAATACATTCACTAGTTATTTTACCTCTCTAGTAATTTCTGCATAAGGTTAATGTGCACTTATGTTTGTTTTGTGTGGATTAGTGTTCTGTTTGTTTTGTGATTTGTTTACCTGCGTTGGTTCAGTTTTTAAAAAATTTATAAAATCCAGTGTTTATTTTATGCTGAACTGTGATTAAAAAAGCCAAATCTCCTTCTAGTGTTTGTTTGAATAATGAGGTAATATTGAATGTAATTTAAATAAATATGTATTTAAGTCTCAATATGTATAAATTAGTCTGTGTGAATATTGGGCTCAATAAGACCAATTCAATAAAACACCTCATTTCTGCCATCCACTGATCAGCCAAAACATWATGATCACCCACTTTATTTTTGAGACACAAAGAACTTSATCAACAACCAAGATCTGAAGGTATTTTAGTCCCTGCTATCTATAGGATYAAAACTTTATTTAGTTTTCCAGAAGTTTAAAGTCCAGTTGAACACTTTGGTTTATTATAGTGCACTTTCATCAATTCAGAGCAGGTTTTTATACTCTCAACACTAAAGGTGGAGGAGATCAAGGGTGGAGTATTYATTAAAATCTGCTTCTCTAATTGGCAAAATTTAAAATAAACCAAAGGACTTTGTTTAAATAAATAGATGAGAATCTCAGCAGCTGTTTACAGGATATTTCAGCACAGACTTTATCCAATATCGGACCTAAGAAACGGCTACGTAATGCTTCTGATAATGTCCTAAACTAATGTTGACATGAGTAAAGTGTATTCRGTGTGGGAATACAATGGGCTTGTTGACTAAATAATGCACGTTGATCCCCAGCTGGTAAACTTGCCAAAAAAGCAATCTGGAAATGTRACTAAAATGTTTTGTTCTAATTAATATTCACRACTCTTCTGATCAGAGTTGTTTGTCAGGGTATTACTCAGGGGCCACTTCTGCATCCCCATGGAGACTTAATGCTCAACATACAAGTGCAAACACACACAGAGGGAATGGCTTTTTTAATATTTATGGTCTGCAGCGTTATTATAAATATTTATGGTGATTTACTCTTTAGTCTGGGTCCTTTCCTCTCACGTTCTGTGCCTCTTCAGCCCACAGGACGGCGGCTATCAGTGAATCATTCAGATTCGTTCTTTGGTTTCAGAAAATCTCCCGCCTTTTATCTCTTATTTATCATCTCCCCTCAGCTCCATTATTTGTCTCCTGATGGTCTTCAGGCATCGCAGTTTGTTTGTTCCATGTTTCTGCTCGGATGGTGCTACATCTAGCTCGTTAAACCCATCAGGCTCTTTCGTAYGCATCGCTGAAATTTATTCATACGATCCGAAAGTACAGTTTACCAACCCCCTTCCCTTTTTATTGCCTGCCACCACATGGTGAAAACAGGCAATAATGCAACATAAAAATGGCTGAACCTCAGATTCAGGAGGAACAATGCAGGTTCTGTYCTAAACGTGGAACTCTGGACCAACTCTTTACCCTCACTAGGGTCCTCAAGGGGTCATGGGAGTTWGCCAATCCAGTGTACATGTGTTTTGTGGGTTTGGAAAAGGCGTTCGACCATGTTCCTTGAGGTACACTGTGGGAGATCCTCCATGAGGATGGTATTATGGGTCCAATGGTAATGTGCGGTGCAAGAGTTTAGTTCTTATCACTGGCAGTAAGTCGGACCTCTTCGGTGGGAGTTGGACTCCGCCAGKGCTGCCCRATGTCGCAGTCTCTTTTCATAACTGTTACGGACAGAATTTCTCAGTGCAGCCAGGGAGCRGAGGGAGTCTAGTTCGTCTATTTGCACGTCATGCGGTCCTGTTGGCATCATCGTGTCGTGATCTTTAGCTCTCACTGGAGYGGCTCACAGCTGGGATGARGATCAGCACCTTMAAATATGAGTCGATGTTCCTCAGTCGGAAAAGTGTGGATTGCTCTCTCTAGGTTGGGGGTGAGGTTTTGCCTCAAGTGGARGAGTTCAAGTATCTCAAGTCTCTTGGGRTTTTGTTCACCAGTGAGGGAAGAAGGGAGCATGAGACTGCGGACTCTGTTCTGCTGTGTTGGGGTGTTTACCGGTTGGTCTACATTCYTACCCTTACCTGTAGCCACGAACTTCGGGTGACCAAAAGATTGAGATCGGGKAARTMARYGGTYGAAATGAGTTTTCTCCTCAGGGTAGCTGGACTCTCCCTTAGTTGAGGTGGTTCATCTGGTAAGGATGYCTCCTGGATGCCTCCCTAGGGAGGTGYTTTAGGCATGTAAACSGTAAATGGTCTAAACTTATATAGGGCTTTATCAAGCCCACTTGACCCAAAGACTTGAAACGACAGTCATCTGCYGATTCACAYACTGATTGCCCTGCACCRGTGCCACCAGTCCCTCTGAYCACMATCAGTAGACAAGGCAGGTGAAGTGTCTTACCCAAGGACAGAACAACTGAGATGGCTGGAATGGGGATCATCCAGCAACCCTCCGGTTACAGGATGACTCCCCTAGCCACTCCACCACAGCCGCCCCCCAGTTAAACTGGGAGAAGACCCGGGGATGACCCAAGACAGACTGGATGTCTCTCAGCTGGCCTGGGAGCACCCAGAAGATCTRGAAGAGGTGGCTGCTGCCCCCACTACCCGACTACGGAATAAGAAGATGATAATGGACGGATTGATGGAAAAATAGTGACGGTTCTTTAAGATACTGAACAAAAAATTTGGTGTAAAAATGGCTGCCACGGCTAACGATTCCACAAACTGTTGTTTCGAAGTTTTGACCAAAACAGCTACAACTCTGATGGTTCTCAACAAAAGATTTTAGTCTAAACCTCAGGCATGGAAGGTGGCGGGGGACTTCAAGTTATTACTGGTCAAATCAAACGTTATTAGCTGCAGGACCACTCAGCCTATCCGCCCCACGTTTACAGTATTTTCTGTTTTCCAGATTCTTTGCAGTTTCACTGTGAGAGCTGAATCACACTGATGAATAACTCTTACATGAGAAAATWAATTACAGAGTGGAGGATGTTTCCCTGCTGCCACTGCTTGGACAAGCGTTAACCGGCTAAT